ACGGGAGTAGAAAGCCTCATCTTTCTCCTGCGGAGCAGCTGGTAGTTTCGAACCGCTGACCTTAAGGTTCGCAGCCCGATTCATAACCACTACGCTAAAACACGATCCTTAACCGGTATTAAAATCAGGGTGCTTACAGAGGCCTCACCAGATGGAATACATAGAAATAAGATTGATTACATCTGCAGAAAGAGTTAATGGGAATGCTCCATATCATCAGTCAAAACAAGGCCATGGACAGACTATGGAACAGATCATCAATTGCTCATATGCAAATTCAAACTGAAGCAGAAGAGAATAAAAACAAGTCCATGAGAACTAAAATATGACCTTGAATATATTCCACCTGAATTTAAAGATCATCTGAAGAACAGATTTAATACATTAAACACTAAAGACCGAAGACCAGAAGAGTTGTGGGATGACATCAAGAAAATGATACAGGAAGAAAGCAAAAAGTCATTAAGAAGACAAGAAAGAAAAAGTCAAAATGGATGTCAGAAGAGACACTGAAACTTGCTCTCCAGCATAGAGACACTACAGCAAATGGAAGAAATGAGAAGGTGCAAGACCTGAACAGAAATTTTCAAAGGTCAGCTTGAGAAGATAAAGTCAAATATTACAAGAAAATGTGCAAAGATCTGGATTCAGAAATCCAAAAAGGAAGAACACACTCAGCATTTCTCAAGCTGGGGAAACTGAAGAAAAAATTCAAGCCTCGACTTTCATTATTGATGGATTCCCTGGGCAAATTATTGAATGATACAGAAAGCATCAAAAGAAGATGAAAGAAATACACAGACTCACTGTAACAAAGGAAATAGTTCATGTTTACCATTTCAAGAGGTAGCATATGATCAAGAGCCAATGATACTGAAGGAAGCATTGAAGGAATTGGCAAGAACAAGGCTCCAGGAATTGATGGAATAAAAATTGAAATCTTTCAAGAAAGTGAGGCAGCACTGGAGACAATCACTCATCTCTGCCAAGAAATTTGGAAAACAACTATCTGGCCGACTGATTGGAAGAGATCCATATTTGTGCCCATTCCAAAGAAAGGTGATCCAACGGAATGCAGAAATCATCAGACAATCTCTTTGATATCCCATGTGAGTAAAGTTTTACTAAAGGTAATACAGAAATAGCTGCAAGCATACATTGACAGAGAACTTCCAGAGGTTCAAGCTGGATTCAGAAGAGACTGTGGAACAAGAGATATCATTGCTGATGTCATATGGATCTTGGCTGAAAACAGAGAATATCAGAAAGATGTTTACCGATGCTTTATTGACTATGAAAAGTCTTTCGATTGTGTGTATCATGACAAGCTATGGACAAGATTGTGAATTATGAGTATTCTGGAACACTTAATTGTGCTCATGAGGAATCTGTACCTGGCCCAAGAGGCAGTTCTTTGAACAGAACATGGGAACAACCTGCGATATGCAGATGATACAACCTTGTTTGCTGAAGTGAAGAGGACTTAAAATATTCACTGATGAAGATTATAGAGCACAGCCTTCTGTATGGATTGCATCTCAATGTAAAAAAAAAAAAAAATCCTCACCACTGGACCAATAAACAACATTCTTATTAATGGAGAGAAGATCGAAGTTGTCAAGGGCTTCAGTTTTCTTGGATCAATTATCAACGCTCATGGAAGCAGCAGTCAAGAAATCAAACGACATATTGCATTAGGCAAATCTGCTGCATAAGACCTTTTTAGTGTTGAAGGGCAAAGATGTCACCTTGAGGACTAAGGTGTACATGACCCAAGCCATG